ATAAATTCGATATCAACAAAAATCAATTTTTTCATCCATGGGACCACATCCTATGTTGACTCTATGTTAATACAAACAAAACCCAAAAAATATATATTATTATGTATTGACTCTATGTTAATCAAACCAAATTTTTTCCCACAATCTAGAAAATATAATGACCCTCTCAGCAAAGACAAATTTTTGACTGTCAACCATCCAAGTCAACTAAGTCATCAGTACAATGGAAGGAGCGAATATATATTCATGTATAAAGACAATTCTTTTACTTTCAGAATCATGAAAACGCCACAATTTGATTTACAATGTATTATAAAAAGAATTAATATCACCTTGTATACATTGCCCCTCTGAGAATCACGGCTAGAAGTTTCCACTTTGCGCATTTTTTTGTGACCTATTTTTTTGGTAGTGACCTTCATCTTCGTCGATCTCCTGCTTCCTTTTTTTGCTTCTTTTTTCGCATATTTGCTCATCCTCGAAGTCATCGAACAAACTTTCTTCCGAATCATCTCCTTCGGTTTGGGTTTCACCGCGATAATCTGAATCCTCCGATTCTTCTCCTTCAGCAGAATTGGGGATCTTTCTTTTTTGATGTTTCTGGGCTTGTTTCGGACGAAATTCTCCATGATCCGACTAAAAGTCGTCGGAATCGGAGTTGCCGTTCTTGGTAACATGTCGAGGTTTGCCGAGTGGCTTACGAGTTTCAGTTGGCTTCATTTTTTTATCGAAAAGGAGTTTCTTCTGAACGAGCTTGCCTTTATCTCTTGCTACTATTTGCCTGATACGAGAACTAGATCTCCTCTGTTCATCACCACCGGCGCCGCGAGTGTGAGTCTCACCTGGAATGGGCGGGATTTTGGTTTTAGCCATGAAATTTGCGATTAGGGTTAGTAGTTTGCGTTGAATGAGGTGCAGTTCCAATCGTGATAAAGATGAATGATTTTTTTTTTGTAACTGCCGCAATTAATTAAGAGTTTAATAAGTTCAATAATTATATTGCCTAACCAAACATTCTCGTAACTTTACAAATAAAATGACGTTGAATGATAATTGTGCAAAATTTTTTGTTTTAATAGTAGAAGTATAAATAAGATGGTGAGGTGTCGTAAATATTAAGCCTATTCTATTAACGGGCCGGATCGCAACCGCCGACAGTGTAATAAGAAAGATTGTACAAGTTTCATTATATTTTACAAATCTCTGTCGATGTGATTTGTTATAGTCTTCTCGTTCATTAAATCAGCAAAAACACGTGGCCGCGTGTCATTGATTAGTCCCAGCTAGCACAACTGCACCTGGAATACTATTGCCCCATAACTAATTTCCACCCTCACTATATAGTATATGGCGTGGGCCCGCTTTTTCTTATGATAGACAGCAAATTCATGTAGAAATTGTGCTTTAGGCATTGTAATAGGGAAAGAATGAATAATAATGAAAATGAACAGTTAAAGAAAACAGCAAGTTTATTAAAAAACGTCTTTATGCTTTAATGAATAATATAATATAATTGGGGCATGTGATCTGTCACCACCTCTCCTTTAATTATTCCACAACCATCGCTTTTAGTTGTTACAAGTAAAATAGATGCTCTAAAACAAACTTCCATCGTGCTTTACATTTCACTGCGACTTCTTTCTTCTTCCTTAT